ATTTTTAACCAATAATATTTTTGGCATGTTGTGGATAACAGATAACATTTAACTCATCTATACATGTGATCAAATTTTTTGTATAAGTACGTTTTTACTTGCATTCATTAAAGCACTGATTGAACTCACTTGATTTAAAAATATTTAAACTTGAAGACCTTTTATCTGTCTTTTAACTTTTTATTTTCTGATTTTTACATTTATCTATCAATAACGTATTAAAATTTTTTCTGCAGAATATTGTATTTAAGATTTATTTGGCTTCTTAAGTTCTTACACTAATTATCTAATGATTTTTCGTATAAATTATAAATCACAAATTAGATAATTTATATTATATATATAATATATTGACTTTAAAATTGAATAAGCCATTTTTTTGTTAAGGTAAACTCAAAACATTAGTTATCTACAGTAAAACATTAATTTTTGTAGATATAGTATAAAAATTAAAAAATTTTAAAAGGTTATTTAATGATTTCAAATAATATTAAAAAGATCTTTCCTAAAATATGTACCAGCAGGTGTACCTCGAAAAGAATTAAACTGTATAATACAGGKTGRTTTTTTTATCATGAATTACTCATTATTTCAAAAAGWATCAATGTTTTTGAAAATATTTTTTTACAAAGTTKCRTGTTGTTAAAAAARCAACGTTTTTATTAAAAAATTATGTTTTTAAATATTTTTTATCCTTATAATTTTTTAAGTTTTTTACTTTTCTGAATGACAACCTAGAGTTTTAATTTCATATTCCAAAGCAGAATATTTTTCTAAGTATTTTGATACGTAAAAATCGAATTTTGGACTAGTAGTTTATGAGTTATAAGTATTTAAAGTTTAGATTGGTGGAGTGAAGTGTTACGGGGTTACCCCGCAAAATGTTTTTCCACTACTCCGCTTGTCTAAACTTAAAATACTTATAACATAAATTACTCGTCAAAAATTCGATTTTTACATATCAAAATACTTAGAAAAATATTCTGCTTTGGAATATGAAATTAAAACTCTAGGTTGTCATTCAAAAAAGTAAAAAACTTAAAAAAATATAAGGATAAAAAATATTAAAAAACATAATTTTTTAATAAAAACGTTGCTTTTTTAACAACACGAAACTTTGTAAAAAAATATTTTCAAAAACATTGATACTTTTTGAAATAATGAGTGATTCATGATAAAAAAACCAACCTGTATGTAATATGTGAATGTATGTGTGTATAATATATCACTCGTTTTACTTATAGGTATATAGTATTAAAACAACAGCACTTAGAATATTCTTAGGTATTCTATATTGGCTATAATACAATGATAGTTTAAACAAATATATAATTATCTATGATTTATTATTGTTACAATTTTATTGAAATACAATTTTAAATTTTACTTAATCGATAAATATAATTGATCGTTTTTAGTTGTTGTTGAAAATTATTTTATATTTTTTAGTCTATTCTTCGTATTGATTTTCATAAAAAGACCCTATTTTTCAGACCAATAATTCTAAGACGTGATTCAATGGCCTCGCCAAGAATCTGTCCATGCGTTTTAAATAGAAGAGGTTCATTAACTTGGTTATTATTTAACAATGAAAAGTAAGCCTCAAACTATTATGTACCTACCAAGTTAAAATTTTACATTTTCCTTAAAAATAATAAAATACGCTATTTAAATTTACTGCCAACATATATATGTATAGTTTTAGGAATTAGGTTTATTAATCTGTTTAACTTTTTACAAATACTTTGGTTTTACAAAAATATATCTAGCCTCTGAAAATGTTCTCTTTTATTATGTATTTCGTAGTATTTATAAAGTCGGACCATATTTTTCAGGTCTGTAGTAGTTTCTCCTTTTAGAAGAAGCAGTAATTTAGCCCCAACACAAATTTGTACATGCTCGTTAAACCGAAGAAGTTCGTTGACTTGGTTACTATTTGGCAATGATAAGTAAGCTTGAAAACTTTATATAACAAAAAATAAATATTTTAATTTTCATAAAAATAAACAACATTTGATCTGTAGCTATAATATAAAAACTAATAACGTTCAAATAATTAATAAATACTAAAATCTAAAAACTTATTGCAATAATTTATTTACTTATAAATAAAATACGTACCTATTATTGGCAGTCATAAATGTCTATTATTTTATAAAACATGACAAGGGTAGATATGTGGCCAGTATAGATACCAATATACCATGCGATGAGTCTTTAAGAACAATATACTTAAACATAAATAAAACGTACATACAGTTAATGCTCATTTTGTGTCTTGTACATATAATATTGATTTGCATAAATGGGTTTCACCTATTGGTATCAGACTTTTACTACGTACATATATGATATGTACTTGTATTTAATTATGAAATAAAGTTGTGTACAAATCATAGACGTATTATTGTTTAATAGGTTAGGTTAGGTCTGTGATACAAATTATAAATTATAACCAAGTATAATACCGACTGATATTTATATTGTATCAGAACTACTTTTTATTTGATTATATGTACCTAATAAAATTAAGTGAAATGTTTAGTTTGATATTTTAATAATTCAAAAACCTTGGAAGTTTGGTATAAATTTAGGAACTAAGAATAATCCACGTAATTCTGAAAAATATTTTGCTTGAATTTTTGGTTTTTATATAAATGTAATTATACGATGATATACAGCAATAGTATAGTGTAGCGTAAATAAAATAAAAGTTTATCAATGTTTATAGTAATTATTTTATAATTTTTGGCTTAAACAGCTTCAAATATTATATCTAAGACTATAAAATGATTTTATTACAGAGTAATATAATCAAATATGTAAACCTATACATTCAATACTGCTAAAAAATATCATTAAATATTTTTGCCATGTGACAATAATGGATGATTTAACTATGGGTATCGGGTGATGAAAGAGGTCACGCGAAAAGTAAAGTTTGTGAATATTTTAATTTGTACCTATTTTCTCGGTACAGTTCAGTACCTATACAGTAGGATCTGGTGTCGAGTAAGCCGCTGTAATATATGTGTTAAATTTGAATTCAATGAGTCCTATACTATATAATTGCATACGAAAAAGTAATCTGAGTTAAGACGGTGTAACCCTAGGATATTTTATTTTATAAAATTATTGATTTTATTATGAAAAATATAGGTAGACTGAATTCAGTTCTTGCCTAAATATTTTCAGAACCCGATTTATGGAGGCACGCGTGGACATAGTTTTTCCCCGCCGCGCGTGAACAAAATATTATATAAAATATAGGTAGTTTAAAATTAGTTACAACAGCTAAAATAGATATACAAGTACATGTTCCTGGCGTTCCTGCAGCATGGTTTTAAGTACCTAATAAGTATTTAAATTATACATTATTATTCTGACGATGGTTTCCAAGTTACGACTTATAAACTGAGGATCCCTCTCTCAGAAAAATATGAAAATACGCCACTGTTAGCTAAAAAAATTGAACATTTTATGATTTTTTAGCTACAAATTGACTTTGGTTATGTCAACATTTAAACTTTAAATGCTTATAAAAGTAATTGTAACAATTTATCGTTTATATATACTATTAAATATCAATAATAAAGACTTATGATGGACCTTCTATTAAGTTTTGATTTTTATCGGCGTTTTTAGAAAAAAATCTAAAATTAATCAAAGAAAATTTAATCAAAGATGGTCTGAATAAAGTTCTCAAATAATTTTTTTTTTTAGTAATAACAAATTTTTATTTTTATTCTTGATAATTTCAAAAAGTGCTTACAATTTTAAATTTTGACCTAGTGAAAGTATCAACTAGATCAAATTTCATACCAAAACCTCTAAGTTGTTCAGAGAATTTTATGTACTAGTAAAGTTGAGAGATTAAAGTTGTAGGTATCTTTCAAATACCTCACCTAAACGTATAAACAGTGTTGAATCCAGGTATACTTCAGGGGGGGCCTTCGCCCCCCCCTGACAAATATACAACTTTCTGACTTTCAACAAAATGTACTTATTTATTAAATGCATAATACTAATTTAAATATAAATAATTAATAGGTTTCTAATTTATATTGTATTTTTTTTCAATATTTATAATTTCTGAATTGTAATAAATTATAATAATACAATTTATAATATGTGACGACCTTAGATTACCCTTAGATTGATTTAAAAATAAAAAATAAATAATTTGTTATGTAGTTTTATATAAATTTGAAATGTCTAAATTATAAATTGTAATAAGAATAACTACCTATTAATAGATATAATTCATAATACTAAAACGACGTATCACCATTCACCAATGAAAAAAAGTGAGCCCCCCCAGAAAAATTGTATGGATTCAACACTGTGTATAAAATTATTAGGCTGTACGCCTGTATACAAAATAAAACATTGTTAAATGCTTCGTATGCAACCGAGTGCTCGTGTGCGCGATACAACTTACTTTTAGGTTTCTAAATAATACCTTATACCTTAATGTACGTCCGTTAGCTACCAGTATATATATTTACAATTGTTTATATTATAATTTTATAACCCCGGTTCTATTTAAAGTAAATTCATATACTAGAAATTAATATACCAAAAAATATTTTAATATGAATATTTAATATTGATTCAAAAGTAGCCAATATAGTAAAAAATATATACCAAAATAAAAAGGTTACCAAATAATATTATCTTTAAAACATTTATATTTAATAATATTGAGCAATATATTATAGAGTTGTATTAAAATACCTTTAGAAACCGGGAATTTATTACGCTCGCAGAATGAGTTTTCCAAACTTATTTTTTAAATCGTGGCGCTAAGTTTTCTCCATAGATTCTGATAGACTTAATTTTTCAACACAATTTTTATATAAGAGTTGTTTTTATAAGTTGTCCTTAGCATGAACTGAACCTATGTACTTACCTATATCCTATATATGGTTATATAATATAATGTTTAATAATTGTATAATTTTTTTCTGATATATTCATTAATTTTTTATACTTAATAGTGATAGCTGTGCAACAAGAGCTGCATCCGTAAACAGTACATTAACTAATAGTATAACACTTCCGAATGTTCATCCACCACCTTTGACAAAGAAAAATTCAGCAGGTAGTGGTTTGGGCCCAACGTCCATTACTCTTCCTAAGTACTTATGGATTCGTCTAGCATTGTTTGAAAAACTTTTAGCTGTAATAATTGACCATTTAGTTCAAAATTGCAGGTAAATGTTGGTCTAATTTAAGTGTACAAATAATCAGTTTGCCTGCAGATTGATAAAATCACGAAAAAAATGTTTCAGTAAATATTACGAAAAAGATTCCTTGGTAGCAGATCCAGATTATGGAAGCATTTTAAGTTCATTACTTGGTAACTTGAAATATTTCTTCATTAGATTACTGTTTCTTAATAAACTATATTTTTGTGTTTAGTTGGACCGTGTGCTTTAGATTATTCTCGTACAAAATCACATGATCAATTTTGGACAGATCCACCTGCCGATGAATTAGTTCAAAGACACCGTATATCCAGCGGTTATCATACATCTCCGCCATGCCGTACTCCCATAAATGTAAACTGTATTTATATTATTTTATTCAGTAACAATTGTCGATTTAACATTCAAAGCTGTTAAGACTAACATGGTGAAATATATTTATATCTCTGAGACCTGAGCCTTAAACTAAAATTAGATTAAAATACTATAGCTTAAATCCCACTGAGATAGAAATTAAAAATACAAAGCAATTTTTTTCTGTGGATTTCGTTGGAAACTGCTGAGAAAGTTTATGTAGAGGTGCTGCTTATATATATTTGCTTGAATAAATTTCTCATAAAACTTTTTCAGTATCGTAGAAATTTACATGCTACAAGTAATGATGATAATCAAAGACAAACACCTATATCTGCTAAAGACTATGTGGAATCATTGCATCAAAATAATAGAGTTACTCTACTGTACGGGAAAAATAATGTTTTAGTTTTACCGGTAATTGAATAATGAATTAAGCTTATGCTAAAATTGATTGATATTGTAATAAATTGTAATAATTATTTGAAAAACAAATTCTGTTTTCAGAAGGATGTAACTGAACCTATGGCAGGTTACTTGTCTTTACATCAAACTGCTAGTTCATTGATAATAAAATGGACTCCAAATCAACTTATGAACTGTCATTCTCCGGGTGCTAATCAGAATGATCAACCTGAAATTGATGCAACTGATAAAAGGTTAGTTTTTATCGTTAAGAGGACGCCACACCCGCATGTGTTGTCTCCGTCTTACAAACGTATAAACATAGCAAAATCTGTTTAGCGCGGGACAACTTTTCTCCCTCAATATTTATATTAGAATTTTCAAAATTTCACAACACATAGGTATTTATTTATTTTTATTTAGGTTTTTTGATAGCACAAACCAATAATT